TCCAGCAAAATTCTTCAAAGCAAACCCTCTTCCTCAGGTCTGCTTGCAAGTTGCGTTCAGAAGTGGGAATGATGGGGCGCCTGGGTGGCTCAGTCGCTTAAGCAACTGCCTTTGGCTCAGGTCGTGATCTCGGGGTCCTGGGAATGAGCCCCGCATCGGGCTCCCTGCTCCGCGGGAAGCCTGCTTCTCCCTCTCCCACTCCCCCTGCTTGTGTTCCCTCTCTCTCTGTCAAATAAATAAATAAAATCTTAAAAAAAAAAAAAAAAAAGAAGTGGGAATGAGGGGTTTGTGAAGCCTGGGCGGCATGGGCGTGCCTGGTTTCAGAGTCAGCCTCCTACTGATGCAAATAAGCAGCCTGTGCTTATCTGGGAGAGGCAGGCTTGAGGAACAGCATCCTGTGTCGCCTGAAGGCTTGACTGAAGAGGAACGTGGGGTCCAGGAGAGGGACAGAGCCCACTGAGTGAGAAGGACGGGAACATGATGGAAGCCCAGGAGAATGGAAGTCCTTGAAGGCTTTGGTGAGAGAAATGACCCAATCCGGCTATTCTTTCATGAAAGCCTGGCTCCCAATATGAGCGTGGGCTCCTGGCCAGGGTGGACACTGACAGAGAAGTTAAAATGATCAGGGGACAGATGGTGGTAGTGGGATCAGGGTGGTAACCAGGGAGGAGGTGAGAAGTAGTTAGATCCTGCTTATATTTTATATTTTATTTTACTTTTAAATGTGATATATGTCCTATTTTTTTCCACAAGTGATTTTTAAAAAAGATTTTATTTATTTATTCGACACATTGAGAGACACATTGAGAGAGAGAGAGAGAGAGCCCAAGCAGGGGGAACTTTAGAGGGAGAGGAAGAAGCAGACTCCCCGTTGAGCAGGGAGCCCGATGCGGGGCTCCATCCCAGGATTATGGGATCGTGACCTGAGCTGAAGGCAGACGCTTCACTGACTGAGCCACCCAGGTGCCCCATATTTTAAAGTTTATAGTCAATAAAGTGTGCTTGTGGATTAACCGTGAGGTGTGCAGAGGCAGGAGTGGAGGTGGCCTGAGTAGGTGGAAGAATGGGCCGCCATGAATCGTAAACAACCATGGAGCGGGTTTGTGAGGGTGAGAACACCCCTTGGCAGAGCTCACATTAGAAAAGTTCATCCCCACGCAGAGGTGTGAGGTGGGCGTAGACACTGGGATAGGCAGGAGAGGTCATTTGGGAGTCAACGGCGTTACTGACATTTCTCAGGCAATGACATGCGGACAGCATCCACCGGGACCTGGGTGGGAGGAGAAGGAGACAGCCCAGCCCTCCCTCCCAGGCCTCTCCCACTGTCAGGAGTGATGGAGAAAGGGACGGGTCAGCAAAAGAGAATGAGGAGAAGCGGGCAGGAGACCAAGATAAAGTGTTGCTGGAAAGGCTAGTAGTGAACGGTGCTTGAAATGCTGAAGATAGGTCACAGGGATAAGGCCTGAGACTAAATCCTGCTTTCATCAGTGTTGGCGATCTGATGGTTTTGACAAGGACAGCTGTGTGAGGCCAGGGCGGAGCCTGACCGGGGCGGGCTTGGGGACACCTGTGAGGAGGGACACCCACAGCGGTGAACACATGGGTGTGACAAGTGCATCTTACAGGTGCACGACAAAGATCTCCTGACTGCCTAGGAGAAAATGATCTCTTTCTTCTTTCCTAGAATTCATTTATATGTCTTGATCATCTCCCCCACTTTCCCTTTCTCCCCTAAATCCTTCTATCTACTTGAAAGGGTTCATATTAGAGATGGTGGGATCTGTGAAGTTGCTTGCCACCCACCAGCAAGAAAAGTTATTCTGCGTTCTCAGTCCTCGGGTGCAGCGAGCGAAGAGATTATCAACACTTCCTTGTTTTAATATTGAAAATGGAGTAGTTTGTCTCTTTCAGTGTTTTGCCCTCCAAAGTAACTAAATAGCATATTTTTCTTATACTTCCGCTTTCTTGGCTTTTAGTTTCATTACTGAAAATGGAACTCATGCCCAGAAATTCTCCAAACAAAACCTGATTTTTAAATACAAGGTTTAACTTGTAACTACAGACTCTGTAGATATAAATAAAGTTATCTTTATGGGATGAAGTGATTTTTTAAAAACCCCACCTTGTTTCACTTGACCTGTTTTTTTGTGCTTTACATCTCATTCACCACTCATTACAGGGGAACAGAATAAGTCAGATTTTTGAGAATTCCTATTTATATTGTTTAGAAGAAGAGAGGATCGGATGACAGGTTTGATGCATGGTCTCACTGCAGAGTATAATAGTATTAATTTGTGTTAAGTGCCATATTTTACCTCTAATTAATCTGGAGTATCTATGTTATTAATATTCTTTCCTGCCACTAATTTCTTCTATCTGTCTTATATTTGTATATTCATTTGCATTCTCTGAATTGGAGAAACATGGAGTGAATTTCCCTGTGTAGTCTCTCATAAATCTAGACACCTGAGTTTGGGTGCTTGTCTGTCTGTTACTTACATGTGATGTGGCCTTGAACTTAAAACTCATCCTTCTGCTTCTTCATCAACACAAAAGAATATGTTTTTGCATTTAGAGAGGGGTATACAAAATAGGGTAGGGATTAAGAATGTGGACCTTGAAGACAGATACCTGGTTAGCACCCCTGAAACACCGAAATCGGATGAGGTATGTAATAGCAATCCAAACATATCAACCCTATTAACGACAAACTAATGCAAGGGTTAAAACAGAATTTCACATGTTACATTTAAAGATATGCAGAATTAGATTGTCCCATAGATCTAATTTGAGTTTTATTTCCTTTTCATTGGACTACTTTGTTTTCATCATGCAGATAATACATGTTTTTCCCAACTTCACAGCTGGCAGTAAAAATTAACAACCTATGAGCTGAATGTAAAACATAAGCTTCTTTCACTGTGATAAAATTTGGCTTTTTGTTTTCCTCTCTCCATCCATAAATTGTGTGTTGGTGTGTGTTTATTGGGACCAGGGGCGGGGGGCAGGTAGAGAACAAATGATAGATTTTGTGACTTTTCATGACATCACTAGTATGTCCATATGGATAGGACATAATGGCTTTTGGGATAATTAGCTACAAAAGAAAGGGAGAGAGAAAAGGTCCTGTTCAGAATGATTTGTGTGTACGAACTGCTCCTGCTTTAATCAGATCACAGCTGCTGGGTCAGAACCCCATACAGACCAACTGGTTTCATCCAGTATAAGAGCAATGTTTTCTGGTCATAGACTGTACCTCTCACCCCGATCAGCTGTGTTCAGGGAGCCCGCTGGGTGTCTTAGAGGGGACTCCTAGAAGAGCGTCCATGGCTCAGCACAAATTAATCACAACCACTGGATGCAGAAGGAGCCACCCATGGTGTCAGCAGCACATATTGCTACATGTGAAAAGAATACATCATTCCAGAAACGGCTACACGTTATTTCAGGATTGTCGTCCTCAGTGCGAAGCAGAGCTCATGAACATTTTACTCCGTGGACCACTCTGGCGGTCTGTTCCCAAAGAAAATTCAAAAGCATAAAATAAATGACATAACATTATAGAGGGAACCTAATGCATTGAATTAGAGTTATTCAAAATATTAAAAAAAACAAAAATAGGTAGTTTTATCAAAGCTTTAAATAACCTAATGTTACAGTGAGTTTATTAATTACCATAATTTCAAATTAGTAATTAGCATAAATGATACGTCAAAATATCTTCAATATTAATAATAATATGAAGGGAAAAATATTGTGATTTTTCTTGGTTCAGAGTTACCAGCATGGCCAAACATCACTATGATTTGTTAATTACCCTCTTAGTTGATGAAAATGCTAAATTACAATTGGAGGAAAGTGCACAATTATCTTCTAGAAGGCCCAGGTTCTTGCCTCTGGATTGAAATATCAGAGGTATCTATCTGAACTACTTATAAATTTTCATGGCCAAAATGTTATTATTTCATCCAGGAAAGCACTCCAGGATTTAATATAAAATATTTAACTTTCACTTGGAGTTAATTTCAAAATACAACTATTGCAATAATGGGGAAAACTTATCAATAAAAATTGACAGCAGAGACTTTGAATCTATTTTAATAGATGTACATTCTATTGAGTTGTGTCCAGGTTTCTCCTAACATTTGGAGGAAATTTTCTAGAAGTCAGTTTTGATGAAATCTTCCCTTAGATAAAACTTTTGGATTGCTATGGAGTAAGGCACATTTTCTTAATAAAACAGAAAGTCAAGGGTTGGTGTTTCCCCAAGTCCCAACATGACCATGTGGTCATGGAAAGAAAATTTGTTGGAAATGTAAATTGTCATCAATTTTTTTAAACTGAAGAGGAGAAAAAAAACAGGAAAACAAACATATTTCTAGGACATGAATATTAATTTTACTTGAATAACATATGCAATTAAATAACATTTGAAATTCTACAGCTATTAAAAGTATTTCATTGAAATCATCTCTTTCCCTTATAATATGCTTTTGAGGACTTTCCATGGGCAGAAATATAGCCTTAATCTATTAATTTTATATGGAAATATGAATTATTTGGGGATTTGATCATTCATGTGGAGCAAGAAGACAAAGAGAATAAAGTAAATATAATACATTATGAACCTTTTTTTAATGTACTTACATATTTTATCAACAGTTTAGCAAATACCTTTGTTGGTTTTCTAACTGTATGAAAGCACAGTTATCTCTTCTAACAACATTCAATGACAAATACAGTAACTCACTGCAGTGATTATTAATATATATATATTTTTTAATATACACTGAGTTTTAGGACAGGAGACCAAAAAGGTGATGAAGCCTCTCTGGACTTTCTCTTCCTCATTTAAGCTTTCTAAGGACCCCGAGCCCCTCAACTGTAAAGCATATCTTCTTTCTGTAATGACATGAGTTCAAAAGAGAATCCTTATAAATAGTATGAAAAGTGATCCGATAACATATAACTTTTTAACCTTTTTAAACATTCTTTTCTAGGCTGAACAGGACAATGGCCATCCTCTTCCTGCCTTCGCCAGTCTCCATATTGAAATCCTGGATGAAAACAATCAGAGTCCGTATTTCACGATGCCCAGTTACCAGGGCTATATCCTGGAATCCGCCCCAGTGGGAGCAACCATCTCCGACAGTCTGAATTTGACCTCCCCTCTGAGGATTGTGGCTCTGGACAAGGATATAGAAGATGTAAGCTCAATATAAATGTTGTCCTTGTTTCATTAACACGTCTTGTTACATTTATGTCAACAGGAACTTTTACAAAGACCTAGTGACAGGAGGTATAGAATAGAGAACAGAGTCCTTGTGAATAAGAGTCTTATAAATGAGAATCTTAGTGTTGTAATTTCATTTCACAGCAAGAATACTATAAAAAAAGAGCATGTTTGAATTCAGCGACCCTTTTTTTTTTTTTTTTTTTCAGTTTACAGATACTGGGTATAGGGAAGAAAACGAATGTTTCATTTATAGTTTGCTAAACCCCCAGGACAATCTCTTTTATTAATAATGGGTTAAAAACTGTTTATACAGTTGCTGATAGGGAACACTCATGACATTACACAATGAGTCTATGAAAACATGAAGGCAGCCCTGGAGTATGATTTGGGGGACTTTCCAGATGCTATGTTATTTGGGGGCAGCTGACCTGCTGGTGGCTGTGCTGATACTCAGACCGTCCACTCCACACATCGTTGCCTGTGGTGGTGGTGATGCGGACATCCACTCACACAGTGGAAAATGGTCCAGGCTGGGCGGGTCAGCCTACCTGACCTTCTCAGTCCCTCTTTGGCTATGAAGAGTGGACAGAAAATCTATACCAGGCCAGCCAGAGCCCTTCCAGGAAAGGAAAAATGAAGAATTATAGCTGGAAGGCTTTGGCATCATGTATTAAATAAGTGGGAAGGACTTTGGAGACAGCTGAGTTTGCTGGCAACATGGCGGAAGCCTATCACCAGCAAGAGAGAAGGGGCAGAAAAGAGACCTGTTGGGGTCCTGTTGTTTAGGTTATAAGATCCCCAAGCCTTTGCTGAACTCTAAAAGATTTTCCTTCGATTCCATGACCTACCACATAATTCTCCATGTATCTTTTTTTTTTTTTTTAAACATACGTTGAGTTGGATTTGTCTCTTGCAATGTGGGAAGTCCTGACTAGCAGTCTCTCTCCCCTCTGTTGGTGCTGTTGGGTTAGACTTCCCGTGAGGATGGAGATGTTCTGCAGCTGGGCTGTCCGCTCCCGGAGCCGCGAGCCCTGTGTGGCCATGCAGCATTGGACAGGACACTAGCCTGAGAACCGAATTCTAATGTTTTGGTTAATTAATTTAAGTGTAAGTCATCCCCTGTCACTAATTGGACAGCACAGCAGTGAGGTGTCCCCCAAATCTCCTTCTATGGAGCTTTGTCATCCATCTAGTAAATGAAGAGGGAATTTTCCAAGTGTTTTTTTTTTTTTTTCTCTTTCCGGAAAAAGCATGTAACACTCCACAGAGGATGTGACAACTCTGTGTGCACGCTCCTCTTTCCAGATGTCGTTATGCCTCCCGGTGCTTTCTCTTCTCTCATCCACCGTTCCTATCTTAGCCTCTGCTCTTCCATCTCATCATGTTTTACACAGTAGCTATATGAGTTCTTGGTGCCTGCCAGACAATATAGGAATTGCTTTATCTTGCATTAATTTCCTTAAATCTCACAGCAAACATAGTAGATGCAATTTCCCATATTGCAAAAGGGGAGGTGGAAGCTATTTTAAATGCCTGATGTGATCACAGAGTTCGTAAATGGTGGAGATGGTCCTTGAGCCAAGGTCTATGGGAAACAAAGTCCCTGATTTTAAGCATCAAACTAGAAAGCCGCTATCTATTTGCTATGGTCTGGCTCTAACCTGACTATGATAACAGCTGATGAATGCTACAGACTTTTTTCCAGAAAAGTGCATATACCTGCACAATTTCCCATCCCAGCTTAGGGGGTTAAGGATCCTCTGAATGTCTTCATTTAGTGAATCCTCACTAGAAAATTTAGAGCCACCTTAATACATTTTATATAGGCTAAGCTACTATAGTTTGTAGGCCTGGTGATGTCCCATAAATTTTGGTGTGGATTTTCTTTCATTTTTAAATTGGAATGCGTGATCATACTTTAAGCAGTGACTAGTGAATTTGGAAAATTATAATGGTTTATGTCATACCTTCATGAACACAGTGGTGAGCAGAAGCTAAATCCTGAAGAAAAAGAGCAGTTACAGTTTCTCCATAATTGCAAAATGTACATGTTTGTACTCACTTGATATATTTATTATTATTATTTTGCTTGATGTATTTATGTTACCGAATGTTTGCGTACTAAGCCCTACACTTACTTGTGTACATTCCTATTTTTCTGGATTGTTATTCACTTTAAAGAATCTAAGATTTCATTCTAAGAGACTTTGTAAGGATGGTGGGACTTACAGGGTGTCACTGAGGTGGGTGGGGAGAGCTCCCGGGACTAAACACTATTAACATTGGGCTCTTTGGGCTGACAATTCCAGTTAGCTTATTAGATGCTCTGAGTGTTTCCAGGGGAGGGGCAGCTGGCTGTGGTTCTCGGGAGTTAGACACCCGCCCTTTGACTGTTGGTCCTACCATGTGATGGTTGTATGACACTGAGGGGCTTGCATTCACCAGTTGCCCCTTTTGCTCAATCACCTATGATCCAAAAAGTTATATGGGAGCGGTGATTGCCACCTTGGCCTGCTCCTTCACTTGGGGCTGGTGGGGAGGGCAGGGAGAGGACAGTTCCCATAGATGACCCCATGCGCATGGAGAGTGGTGCCAAATATCACTAATTGAACACTGTGTTCTGACCATTTGTTTCTTATGTAGTCCCACCCTCTTCCTGAAATTAACTACAATGAGTGCTGTGAGGTGCCTTGAAAGTGAACAAGTATCTCTAATCTCCTAGTTATAAATGTTTCTAAAATATTGTATACAGCTCCTATATATCTATAATGTAAATAAGTCCACAGAATATTAAGCATTGTTTAATCCACCTTCCTCTACTATATGAAATGTTCCCCTAAGACCCACCTTTCAGGAGCAGATACAGCACCTCTTTGTGCCACTCAATCTTGAAACCTGGGAGTCGCTGATTTCGGTTTGCTCCTGACAACTGAAGCTCTTTGCATCCTTCCTGTTTAGTCTTCTGAATATTTCAGCAATTCTCTTTTCTTCTCCCATCTTGACAACCATCACCCTACTTGTTCTCTCATTAGAATTGCCTCCTGATGTCCCTGCCTTCATAATTTTTTCTGACTCAGGCCTCTCTCTCACTCAGCCCCTAACAGTGATCTCTTCAAGATCTCACAAGGGACTGTATCACAAGCCTGCCTAACGTGCTGGTGTGACTTCACATCCCCCGCACAAGAGAATGGCTAGTGTCGCTAGATGCCTGAACATTCCTACCATCTCATTTTCTGAAACTCCCCGCCTCACCTGTTACCTTTAGCATCTACTTGTAGTCTCCTGCACATGCCAACCTGCCTCTCGTCTCATTTCCATTATTTGTGATGTTTTGTACATTTTGAAATCTTCCATCCTTCATTACCCAAGCCAGCATGGGCAACTTAAGCTCAGTGTTTAGAAATCTGCTCAGGCTTGGCCTCATTCACGCATCTTGCCTAGACTCCGCTTCCTCCCAGATGAGCTGCATGACTCTCCTCCATGCATTTCTCTACTGCACTATTCACGTCATTGTAGGTGCCTTGCTCCCTCTTTGAACTTAAATGGAAGATAGGGCCTACATCTCAATCACTTCTGTATCCTGAAGATCTAACACAGTTCCCAGAACTTAATATGTACTAGTAATTTTTTTTTTAAGGGGTGATTTCTTTTTTTTTTAATCTTTAATTGTTGTGTTAATCACTATACATTACATTATTAGTTTTTCATGTAGTTTTCCATGATTCATTGTTTGTGCATAACACCCAGTGCTCCATGCAAAACGTGCCCTCTTTAATACCCATCACCAGGCTAACCCATCCTCCCACCCCCCTCCCCTCTAGAACCCTCAGTTTGTTTTTCAGAGTCCATCTTCTCATGGTTTGTCTCCCCCTCCAATTTCCCACCCTTCATTCTCCCCCTCCTGCTATCTTCTTCTTATTTTTTTTAAACATATATTGTATTATTTGTTTCAGAGGTATAGATCTGTGATTCAACAGTCTTGCATAATTCACAGTGCTCACCATAGCACATACCTTCCCCAGTGCCTATCACCCAACTACCCCATCCCTCCTACCCCCCCACCACTCTAGCAACCCTCAGTTTGTTTCCTGAGATTAAGAATTCCTCATATCAGTGAGGTCATATGATACATGTCTTTCTCTGTTTGACTTCTTTCGCTCAGCATAACACCCTCTAGGACCATCCACATCCTTGCAAATGGCAAGATCTCATTCCTTTTAATGGCTGCATAATATTCCATTGCATGTATATACCACATCTTCTTTATCCATTCATCTGTTGATGGACATCTTGGCTCTTTCCACAGTTTGGCTATTGTGGACATTGCTGCTATAAACATCAGGGTGCACATACCCCTTTGGATCCCTACATTCGTATGGTAGCTCTAATTTCAACTTTTTGAGGAACCTCCACACTGTTTTCCAGAGTGGCTGTACCAGCTTGCATTCCCAACAACAGTGTAGGAGCGTTGCCCTTTCTCCACATCCCCACCAACATCTGTCGTTTCCAGACTTGTTAATTTTAGCCATTCTGACTGGTGTGAGGTGATATCTCATTGAAGTTTTGATTCGGATTTCCCTGATGCCAAGGAATGTTGAGGACTTTTTTATGTGTCTGTTGGCCATTTGGATGTCTTCTTTGGAAAAATGTTCATGTCTTCTGCCTATTTCTTGATTGGATCATTTGTTCTTTCGGTGTTGAGTTTAAGAGGTTCTTTATAGATTTTGGATACTAGCCCTTTATCTGATATGTCATTTGCAAATACCTTCTCCCATTCTGTCAGTTGTCTTTTGGTTTTGTCGACTGTTTCTTTTGCTGTGCAAAAGCTTTTTATCTTGATGAAGTCCCAATAACTCATTTTTGCCCTTGCGTCCCTTGCCTTTGGCGATGTTCCTAGGAAGAAGTTGCTGCGGCTGAGGTTGAACAGGTTGTTGCCTGTGTTCTCCTTTAGGATTTTGATGGACTCCTGTC